CTGCGCGGAGGAAGCTGCACAGGGATTGGAGTAAACAATGGTGACGTAACAGCGGGAAGACGTACGACCGAACGACAAGACAATGGGCTCTTGTCTCTGTTTTCTGTCCTCACTGCTCCACCTCTATCTCTTTCTCCTGTTCCTATTAAGCGGCGATTTTCTCTTCTTGTTTTACCGCACAATTTCTTCGACAGCGGCCAAACAAAAGATCGGAGGTTGACGGCCACGAACGGGATTTTGGAGGATCGACAAAACGCTAGTTTTACTTCCTTGAGAGATATAAAAGTTACAATCTAATACGGCTATCAGGCGCTAAAAGCTCGTCGCGTGTCAAGTGGTTCGCGCGTGCGAAAACCAGACGTCTATTTGCTAGTGTCCGTTACTACTTAACATTTCTCTCATACTTCATTACCTCATTTCTGCGGTAAATTTTTATTTTTTAAATTTTGCCATAAATATTTTTGTTACTTCAGTATTTTTTTCACAAGTTTTTCCGCATAATAATATAAAAAATAATATAATATAAAATAAAAGTAATTTTTATACAATAAGAGTCTCCATATCAATGAATATTCAATAACTGGACAGAAGAGTTACGTTGAGAGGAAAGTAAAGAAAGAAGTAATGGGATATTGATATTAATGTTTCTCTTTTTTGTTTACAGAGAAATTATATTTTGCATGAACGGAAATCACACGTATATCTACGGCGGCTGCCAACTATGGGGTGTTTTCTCAGATCAAGCTCAATCTACACTTTCCAAGAACCAACTTTCTCGTAGCACGGGTCCGAAGGCGATTCTCGGAGCGAGAGTAGCCCGGTCAAGCCGGTTCGCCAATTTTGGATCAAAAGACTCTATCCTGCGTGAAGTGTCGCCTTAACGGTAGACCGTAAAATTAAGGTCAATCTCCAGTCGCGAGTATCACGAAACGTTGAACGAATACTTGTTACGAAATCGTTATAAAAACGTTACAAAATCGCAATAGAAAACAGCCAGAAGAAATATCTCGAGAGATGTATCATGCGGCAAATTACACGATTACGACATTAAATATATATAATTTAACTTAAAATTCTAAATCATATAATAACAGATTAAGAAAGTGCTATTTGAAATATAAAAATACTCAAATTTGCGCGCTTTTCAGTTTGCTTCAACGTTGCAGTAAATAAATTTAGGTTTAATCATTTAAATCACCATGTTAATAGAAAGAAAACAAAATTAGCTTACTCGAAACGCTCGCCACTTTCGCCAGTCTGCTCACGATTCTGCAGCCGTTGTCGCAATAGCATAATTATGCGTATAATCACCAATAAAATCTCGTGTTTATCGATGTAAATGATAGGAATACCAAATTGTGCAGGTAGAGTGTACACTATCGATCACGGGTGAAACAAGAATCGAACTGAGACTCTCTGGCACGGTTACGTATAGAAGCGCGCGAAAACTGTTAAGCTCTATCCCCATCCATGGCGTCTCGACGCCAAGAATAAACCCGCGCGGACTCCCCACCACCATGAAAATCTCCTATATCGTTCCGCTTTCCATCCCTTTCCACGCGATGCAGCGCTTCCACGACTTTTGTTACATCCTGGTCTAACGCGATGAATTTGATGCAATCGGACCGACCCTAATAAAATACATTTATTCAATTTATTGTCATCCTCTCCGTTTATTTTTCGATTATTCTTTTTGTATCTATATTTATATATTTATCCCGTATCAATATTTATGTATTATATAAATATTTATATCAAATATCCATTTTTTAAATTAGAAAATTGTTTTCCGTTTTCAGCATGAATATAAACCTTTTCTCGAATGTATCGATTATTTTTTCAATTTAAATAGGCTCGTCTTTAATTTTATTTTTTCCCCTATACTTCACAGTTTCTTAAACAGGTCAACTCAAGGGATCGAACATACAGACTAGATTCGCACGCAATTCGCCCGAAAACATGGAAGATTCATTACATTTCCGCCTCGCTTCGCGCGTCACTCGATCAAAAGAGTTGAAAAACTTTTTTCGCGCTGATTCATATAACTCAGCGGGTCGTTAAAGCAGATCGTTCATGCGAGGATAGCGCCGTAGGAAACTTATACTCTAGTCGCGTGGGTGCAACGTGTGGGCATCGCGACGCTTCCGTCAGGCGGAAGCCCGTACGAACTTCTCGTCTCGATCAGAGTTCGTTACACTCGTCGATTCGCCGAACGGGAAGAGACTCTCTTCGTGCCAGTAAATGTTTGTCTCGCGACGTGAAAATACGTCGCCTCTTAACTCTTTGCTTTCACCCGGCAGCGAGGAAAATCGCAATCGCGCGGACTCGCGCATTAAATCATTAGACAAAAGTAGCGGCGCAAATCGAAGGCTCGAATGCCAATTGATGCGGGCGCGGGCGCGCCCGCCGGCGACAAATCGCTTCGATACTTGACGGCCACGAGTGGGACTGGAACGATTTAAGTGTGATTTAGAACGTCTGAACTCTCAATACGGGGACAATTAAGGGGAACGGCTTGGGAAATCGCGTGTGTTGCCTGTCGAGATAGTTCAGAAGTCACGAGTACAATCGTGCTTTCTTTACAGCTTGTATGATTGTTTATCGACGCAGAAATAAAATTTTCAGTTAAAAAGTTTTATGGCATAATTTGTATGTACATTTTGCTGTATACTCGTATTTAATCCTAGCTCGCCACATACCAGTCCAACCAAACGTTTTTCGGTTTTCCAGTTTTCACATAATAACATAATTTTCTAATATCCTTATAATAAGTTCAGTTTAAACTCAAATCATCGAGAAATCAATTTTCTCGACCTGATATTATCATAAACATCTTATTCAGACTCTGTATTTCCAGCGTTACAAGGTTAAAAATATTAATTTAGAATGAAAATGACAATGCGACAAAGTCGAGTGGTCTCACGAACTGGAGTGGTGAATTAAGGACTCGAAAATAAATGTGGCTAGCTATAGTTAAAGCAATCTTAATTTTTAATTATAAATATCCAAATATATATCGTCAATCCACGAACAATCGGAACGGGGAGAAATTAAGTGCGCCGAGTAGAGTAATCCAGGCGCCGAATTATGTGGAAGGATCTCAATAATCGATCGCTTCTGACAACGACAGGATACACGGATCTCTTTCGCTCGCGGAAACGCCTGGCTAGCGAGAGGTGGAATTGATTCCAGTTTGGTCACACCCTTCAGTCGGCAAATAGGTGGAAGAGGGAGGGGGTGGGTATCCGGCAGATGGGTCGCCGACGGTATTGCGGTTAAACTACCGGCATTCAATCGGCTCGACCTATCCATTGATCTATTCGTCTCGATCCCTTCGGCCGCAGGGTGACGCCGCGCTCACGCGGGCACCCTCCATTTTTCTTTCCGGTCTCGTCCACCGTCACTCCTCGTCCCGCCAACAAACGGCGCCGATTTAGCATTGCGCGCAATTTGGGTCACAGCTTTATTGGAACCCACCGGCCGATCGCTAACGAAACGAATTGACTCCGGGAGCATTGGTCGTCCCGTGTTGCCGGCGCGTGCTTTTGGAGGAATCATGGCGATGACGCAATCGTCTCGATTAAAGCAGTATACCGAGCAGAACAAATCGCTATATTAGATCCTATTACTCCCTGCTAAGCATGGATAAAGTCGTGTAACGAATGCGAATCTTTTTTTTTTGTAAGGAGATTTCATTAATTTGAATATTGCATTCAGTGGTTGCGTTATTAATTTAATTATTAAAATTAAATAAAAGGATTTAAAAAGAAATTGAAAAAAATATTGTTACAATTCTCTTGCGATCTTAATTAAATTTAGAAAATTAATTTAAAAAGTTTTCCATTTTTCAACGTAAGGTTTTAACGATTATTTTTAATCTTCATATAATTTTTTTAAATTGTCACGTATGCTTTTCCATGATATTCTCAATTGAATTTAGAAAATACATTTTATATCACGGGTATTTATCATGACAGCCACTTTATTTATCTCATCAAAAAGTCAGACTGGAACACCGGAGAAAAGTGAAGATGTAAATAGGCAGCGACGGGGTAGAAACGCTATACTCGGAAGCAGCTAACACGATGAACCTTGCCCATCCATCGGGTCGACCTTTGATCTATTTCCAGCCGTGGAAATCGCCCCCGTCGCGATAAACCGCCATTTTCCTTCCACTTGGCAGAACATATTTCCGGCGGTGTTAGTCAGCCGTTCTAAATGCACTATACTGACTGCTGCTCTTTCGTCTAGCACGCTAGGCTCCCTCCCTTCCGCGCGGTGAACACTAGCCAAGTTATATTTCTGACTAGCTCTCGCTGTCAGATCGAGGTTAATTGGGTGCCATTACGACGAAAATTAGTGGGTACTACTCAACAACGATGAGTTCCCCTGATGTGGACCGCGGGTCGCGGCTTTCACGATATCGATAAATTAATCGGCAAGCTCGTACCGTCAAATTTACGACGCGAGAAACCGACTCTAGCGTTTCCACTTTCAAGAATCATATTGTGAACAAGAAATATTTAATAAGAATTTGTTCCTATTGCAACGTCGTGTTGTACATTTGAATATCCGTCGCGTTATGTATTTTATGTGAGCGATTTAGAAACGTTAACGATGTTATTATACATTTACGTGTCTCGTTTATCATATTGTATCGTCTATTGCCAAATATTAGCAAATTTTATTAGCACAATAGTAGAATTCAGACTTTATATCTCTATTATAAAAATTCTATATCTCATCCAATCCACGTTCAATTTTGAGACGTGAAAATTAAATAATAGTTCGTTATAATATAATTTACTTTAACTAGCTTGTATGACAGTTGTTCAAATACCAATAATCAAGACAAGTTAATTAATACTTAACTATAACAAATCTTAAAAAAAATTTTTTGATAAATTATATTGTATGTGTTCTAAAATGAGTCATAACTTTTCCATGTCACTGTCACCTTCGAATAACCACGTCAAGAATATGAAGAAATTCACACTCACCATCGTCGCTGATCTCGAGATTCGTGTAGCTATCCCAATGCAGGATGGGATCGTGATGCGCCGATGCATGCGGCACGGCGGGTGTCGGCGCTGGGACTGGGCCGTCCTGACGTTTCGCGTCGGTGGCGAAATAGAGTGTCACCACGCTGTCGGGCGGGCATCGAGGATCATCGCAGGCGACGTCGAGTTCCGATCGCGGGAAGGAGACGACGTTCTCCGTAATTACGCACGTGTGGAACTGAGAGAACAATGGTCGATGTGAGAATATGCGCGACGTAATCACTGATTGGCAGAGACGATTAATCTTGCTTAAAGTCATGCAGTATGCTACTACTAAGTATTCTCGTGTTTGTAGTCTTCCTACGATTTTGCAATTGATTTATTCTTGCTGAAGATTTGAACTTTAAGAACAAAATTTTTCAAAAAGCGTGATTTCTGATATGTAGATATATATATAAATTACTGATGTAAAATAGAGAGATCAATTATAAGAGATTGCATCAAGTATGCAAATCCCAACGCTACTCTCGGTTTGCGTAACATGTACATTATAACATCAATCAATTTAAACAAGTGCGATATTTTTCTGCACAAGTCTCGTCACGCTAACAAAATAAAACTTTATGTAACATATCGAGATCGATGTATTTTCACCCAGAGTTCTCATATATATTGTTTTTTTCCATATTCAGGAAAAAGCGTATCTAGTTATTAACGTTAATCGTTTTCAAAGGATGTTATTTGCCTAACAGGCATAAAACTAACGCGCAAATGTTGATTGTCTTTTTTCACGAACACACGTAGATCTACTTCGCTGTCCTTGTAACTATTGACGATTAGCTTTGCATAAACTATCATTTATGCCTCTGATTTTACGTCGTGTCACTTGCATGCTATAACACATTCATAAATACATCATGCATGACGGATATAGTTAGATCGACATTACTCGATTTACATTACAATGTTGTATAATTTTATAAAAATATGCGAAATCAAACATTACGAAATTACATTGTAATAAAACTAACAATAAATAATGAAAATTTTGTAATGTTAATTTTCAACATAAATATAAATATATAACAAAAATATATTATTATATGTTTGAAATATAGATCTATTGTGTACACTGCTTTCTTACCTGGAGGGAAAACATAACTTCTCTCGTCTGCTTCGAGTATACCCTATGATAGCACTTGACCAATATGTCACCCCTCAGTCGTAGTCCGCCGAGATTAACTGTAAATTCGCGTGCATTCGTCACCGAATATAGATCCGAAGTGTAAACCGGTGTAAGTCCTTCGTATACTTTAAGAAAGGCTCGACAGCCCGTCGGCTCGAAGAGCGGCACTCCGAGGACTGTCAGGTGGGTCAGGTACAATGGCGACTGGCTGATCCTCAGAGAGCCTGACAGCAGTCCGCTGAAGTACTCGATGTACCTGGAAAATCCAGGAGATCATTATTATATTTAACATCTAAAAGTAAGTGTGCCATTACATTTTCAATCTCAAATCCAATTCCCGATCTTCAATCGGATGATTTAAAGGACTAAAGATGAATATCATAAATAATGAACGATAAATCGATGAGGTCTGCCGAAGGTGTGAGAGGCGATCTTCCTGGTACGACCAACATTGCGAGGCGAAAGAAAACGAAGAGGCAAATTTCTCTCAAGCCGCAAATGCGCGCATGCATGAGAAACATGATGAATGGGATTGATGGTTCGGCCAATGGAAGCCTTGACTCGTGACACGAAGAGGTGTGCATGTCGGACGAGCATGCAGATAGGAGTACGTGCCACTAACGTTCGACATCATTCGTCGTAAGAGATCTCTCAGAGGCTAGTAATGGTTTCATACGCTCGCGAAAGCGCAGCCACGCTAACGACATGCTAATGCTCGCGGCTCGCGGAATTAATGGAGGAACTCCGGTAGGCAGAACCGGAGGAGCGTGAGGACCACGAAAGGGAGGCGATATGACAAGCAAGAAGAAGGAGAAAAAGAAGAAGAAGAAGAAGAAGAAGGAGGAGAAGAAGAAGAAGAAGAAGAAGCGGCAAGGAAGTCGCCACGCACGCGGGCGCACCTCGGTCGCGGCTCATTACGATCATTATGAATGCGTACAACGACGCGGATGACAAGGACGATGATAAGGACGACGATGACGGTAATGATACGGCGGTCGTGATTGCGGCGGGGTCGATGGCGCGTAATACGCGCGATAAACTGCCGGATGGGTTGCGTTTGTTTAAAAGGAACCGGTTAATCGAATCGCGAACATAAATCACAAAAGGAATGGAAACGTATGTGAAAAAATAAGAATAAAAAAAGCAATAAGTAGATCGTTGAGATCGAAAAATGAGAAAAAGTTTAATATAATATATTTAATTGCATAATTATCCGAATAATTATTCGTGTGGTCCATTCGGAAAAGATTTATTCGTAATAAAGATCCAATAATTAGTTCAAATACTTCAGCGTTATTAGTTATATAAGCATTATAAAAACAAACATTTTTATTCCAATAATTAGCTGGGGAAACTTATTACACAAAATTTTCAATAATTCGACATCATTATTAATACGTGTAACCAGTTTTATTTAGGTAATTGATTCTAGAACCGATTATTGATTGTTCGCGCGATAAATGATAATTTAATATCATTATATACATATACATAATTATTCGAATAACCATATATATTTTTAAATCATATGCACGATAAATAAGATTATCTTTAGTTTATCGATGCATTCTAATTCTTCTTATGTAAGCGAGAAAAACTTTTTTCTCAAATCAGGTTGCATTTAAGTTGGAAAATATTACGATGGCTATAAGTGCGAACGAGATTAAAAGGGACAGCTGCGTGCAAGCCCGGCCGCGTTTCATTACGGTCATTATGAATGCATACGACGACATGGCGATGAAGTAAACGATAAGACTGCCGATGATGATGATGATGATGATGAGAGCTCGCTATCTTTAGATCAATGGTTCGTAGTACGCGCGATAGAACCGGCTGACAGAAACATCTTTTCAACAACAAGAACGTTAAGTGTGCAACATGGCCGATCATTTTATTTCGTTATTGCCATCTCGCCTCGCGATCCTTTCCTCGCTAGTAAATGTTGTAATCATGGTGTGAACGAAGCGATTATGGAGTCGCAATTTTAAAAGTCGTCGATGCTATTCCGAAGTTCTGAGGAATCCCGAACGAATATCCGGAATACATTATGGAGGAATGATCGGATAAGTATCAACATGATTAATGGCGGCGGAGGAACACGAAGGATGGCAGAAAACGAGCAAGGATGATTGAAGATGATGACGACTAGATAATGAGGACTCGACATTTCAGGTCGATGGTGCGTAGAATGGATAACAAATAGGATAGCGAGGATGGCTACTCAAGGACGTAAGGTGTCCTTCTTAATGGGATCGCCATAGTAATAAACGCGGACTAGTTATACGCTCCTTTTTCCTGGTACGATATAAATTTAAAGAAATTGTACGGCTTCCGCAATAAACGTCAAATGCGTCGTTGAAACGTAAAAACAGCTACCTTTACATTTAAATTCAGTTAAGCACGCGTTTCTTACATAATCCGTTTTATTTAATTCAAAATTAATAAGCTTTCGGCTCTTGAAAAGAAAAAAATGAGTGCAAAAAAATCCAAAGAATTTATATTAGTGAATTATTGCATTATTATAAATATTATTGTCTCAATTTCTAAATTTTAAATCGTAAAATATTATTAAAAAAGCACTCTTTTCAATATTCACGCTCTAATATTAGGCAGTAGTAGTACAATAAGATAAGAAATTACTTTAACTTGTGAAATGTCAGATACAATCAATCAATCAAATATGAAATATCGTAAAACGGATTTATGAAGTAGGATTTTTCGGCATCATCAAGTGCTTATCATTAAAAGCGTCAACGAATTAAAATTAAAATAAAATGCAAGAACGAGATTATATTAAACACGCAACGATTAAGACAGGAATTAAGAAGTAATAAACTTTTAAACATCTTGGGATATACGCACACGCTCGTAAATGATTTTATGACGCTGTCTGAATTATTTGCGAGTGCAAATACGAGAATGAGTTTTAACGTCGCACGTCAACAGGTAGTATACATGCGACTTTCTCTCCATCTTTCTCTCTCGTTACCTTCGATGCGACGGAACCTGCAGCGATCCGATCTTGTCGTCGAGGAACCTTCTCATGGCGAACCTGTCCAACGCTTGATCGCGTCCCCCGCAGATGCTGCTGTAGTTCATATAAGCGGACACTGCCACACCCAGCCGCTCCTTGCCGCCCCTGAAGAGAGAACGATAACGTTAACTTGGTACCGCGAACGCGCAATGTCGGTTCCGTACCTTCTCCGTTAAGAGATAGGATACGAAAAGATTTTTCGCCGCGGGCCGATCGCGGTCTAATGACGTTATTATTCACGATGAATGGAAATGACTAACGGGAAGTTATGGGCGCGGAGTTTCGAAGGGGCGGTGAACGTATACCGCGGCAAAATTATGGCTTTTGCGGCCGATCACTTGAACATTGGCCGTTCTACAAAAACCAGGTCACGAATGCGTACAAGTGCGTACATAGAGAGTTCTGTGCTCATAACTTGTATCTTTTAAAAACGATTTCTATTCACCTTGAGGAATTCGTTCAGTATTATTTTTCTTCGTAATAGAGGTAGACTTATATTAAAGTAGCTCATAATTTATAATTTATAAACTTGGTTATCATCTTTTCTGTTAAAGTCTATTACGAGGGATCAAAAGATCAATATTTGGAAATCGCACTCACCTGGCATGCAGAACAACGACGCGATTAGAAGCGCCGTTTAGCCAGGAGTCCAGCTCCTTGCAGAGAGCACACAGTCTCTCCAAACTTGGCGCTAATCCCTGCGGCCATCCAGCTTCCCTCGTATTCGGCTCGCCGGGTCGGCCGGGCGATGACAAATTGAAGATCTGAAAGCCCAAGATATCCAAAATCTTCAGAAAATTGCAAAAATAAACATAGAGAAGAAATACTATGAAACATAATTTTAAGATTTTATTTTCTTAAATTATAAATTATTGTTATATCTACATAAGAAGAATCTTATATAAATTGTAATATTTGTAATAAAATTATCAACACTGAATTGTTGCGAGATGTATATAACGCTTTCTTTCTTTTATTTCGAGAGAAAGAATAGCAAAGAGTTATAAGAGTTATTCGAATTCTCACCATGTAATTATCGGCATGTTTCCCGCGCAGAAGGGTCGTGGCATGTTCGAGGACACCCTGCGCATCCTCTCTATACCAAAGGGCGATGATCCTCTCGGTGACGTAACAGAGCTCCATCACCTCCGTCACGCGACCTCCGCCCTTTCCCGGTCCCGTTATCGTTGAATCCGCGCCGACACCCGGCGTCCTCGCAGGTGTTGACACCATTGCTGATGTCTGCACCTGTAATTCGATGATTTATTCAAATATAGCAAAAAAATGATTTATAAAACATTGCGAATATTATATATAACAGCAAAAATATTAAAAGATAATTTCAATCCATAATAATTAATACGAAATTAAATACGAAAATAATTAAAAAATTATTTTGTCGTGTTTATAAGTAATTAAAAAAATACAGCATTAGACATTATCGTTTACATGGAAAGTCATCTCTTAAAATAATTACGTTTTCAAATTTTTTTGCTATCAGTTAAATATATAAAATGAAACTTTCTTCTGTGAATTTCGGATCGTCACTCATAGCGAAATTTTCTAGATCTGATTCAAAAAAGATCCTTTTGTGAGCGACTCTATCTCGCTATCCTAGCCGGGAACTGTAAAATTTGTCTCTGATTGCCGCGAAACTTAGTTTTCCAGTAAAACAATGTCATGTCACACAATCAAATCTAGTCCGTGGAGAGAGATTTTATTTCTTTAGTTTTCGCCTACAAATTCATTTTATCTTTCATTATTTTCTCCCTAATGGTTTCGATAGACATATAATTTGAATAAATAAAAATACATAATAATAAACTTTTTTAACAAACATTTTCAAATTATAATGTTGTATATCTATGGAATATTTCTAACAGTTTAAATGTAGAACATATAAAGTGTACTTAAAAAATTATAAAAGTGTTATATTAAAAAAAATTGCTATAACACTCAATAAACAATTTGTTAAAATCTCTGATTTATATATAAATGCTATTTTTTTTAAATACAGTATATTCTTCAGGCTTATAATTTAAACAATTCTTAAACAATCTACGTCGCAATTATCGAGCGCATTTGCACTTCGCCAGTCACTATTATCTTAACATCACATGCACGAATAATAACTTGACAGGGGTTTACGGTAAATCCATCGATTCGCGACACAGAGCTCTATCCACCTTGGAGTACTTCGGCGCGTAGACGATCCTGACGACAATATTCTCCGGCATGGCGATGTCCTTACGGAGGACACGCTATCGCGGGGTAGATCGACATGTAATCCCAGTGCCTTAACGGGAACGCTGCGTTTATCCCGTCGCGAGAGAGACGAGGACGCGGAGAGATCGGGGTGATGCGCGCTGTGTTCCTCGCCGCGGAACGATACACTGCCGGGTATTGTGTTTCGCCTGGTTCTACTGAAGATACGCAAGAATATCCAGTGGCCAGTCGGCGGTTTTGTCAGATAATCGCGCCGCCTTCTGTCATGTTTGTCTGACGTATGCTAGCTTGCGTGTTCCAGGGCCGGGCTCTCGCCGCAGTCATCATCGTTCCGCGACGTTTATTTGCGTATCGTGATCGAAGGCGTGCGTCATTAAACAGATTTTCGATACCGTGATCAAGCAACTATGTTATATCAATTAACAATTGAAAATGAGCTCTTGGTTTACAAGAATTGATTGTGTTGTGATATCGACTCTGACTTGGAAAAATTAGGGAGAAGCAACTCTGCGATATGAAAGAATATTTTATTTCTTACGATAAATTATAAACATTATTTTGTTAGTTCCATATTATGTTAGTTTATAAAAATATTCTTAAGTCACAACAATAAGTGGAATAGAACCGATATGAATCTTACAAATAATTAGAGAAGATGCCATTTTCGGTCGGGCTGGATCTTGGTAGCCTAATAATAATATTTCTGTGTGAATTTTGTATATTTATTGTTAGTAACATGCCTCAATGGTCGAATTAAAAGATGCCCGTCACGGGTTATATAAGTCCATAGGTTCGAACCGTGACTGAGATGATATTTGTCGCAATAATTTCTTGATTTAAAAAGAATATTAGCATCAAAAGTTAAATCAATTTAAATACGTGGATTTACTGTTCCAACAAAAAGCTGTGCTTTAATACCGACAAATACCTAATCGATGCGCAGTTTACTCGTTTACTGAGTTGAAAGAGGTAAAATTCACACATAAATATTATTATTAGGCTACCAAGATTCAACCCATCTTCTTTAATTAATTGTAAGATTCCTAATTCAGGTAACTTTTAATGACAAGTCTCTTTTTCTTACTAAACTCCTTCCCTTCTTCAGTCAGTTTCTTAATTCCCTGTAAATTATTCAAAACAAAGAAGAGCCAGGTACTTAGCTACGTTTTGTTACGAACTTCTCGATTTTATTTTAACGCAAACACTTCTCTCGCTCCGAACGCGTTGAAGCGGCCCTGAACGTGGATGGGAGAACTCGCTCGCGCGCGTAGACGCGTGATGTAATGAATTCGTGCAGGTAGCGTGACTTCGATTCCCACCAAATAGTCACGCTATTCGCACTACCAGTCGAGCCGTGGTCGGTGCTAGATCGTCTTAATACGATGCACGAACGCGGCAATGGCCGGGACGCGCGTCGCGGAAGGCTGCGCGGATGATTTGTCGCGGGGAACGTGCGAAAATTACATGGAGAAGTTGGCGCGCAAACGAGCGCGGATGTATAAGCTGCGTTTTTGCACGATTGCTGCGGTTTCTTCCTCGTCGGACAGCATCCACGGCGAGCACTTCGTCGGTTAGCCGAGGGTCATTTATAGGGCCTCAACAGTCGGGTACCATCGCCGTTGAAGATACTCTGTTATTGATGGCGCTTGTTAAAATTATTCACGTGATTTATACCGGATTATATAGTCATACTGTGTACCGTATAGCCATACTATTGTATATAGTCAGTTGTATGTGTTTATCTACCTTTAAACACTCATTTCTCGTCGAAGAATTTTATCAGAAATAATAATTCTCCGCTCAACAGAGCTCAACGTAATATATTCAGTATGTTTGACAAGTTGGCCTTCCCGTATTAATGCTCGCATAATTTCCAACTGTATTCAACAATCCTCTGGCTGGTCCTCTTAAGCGGGTAAATCCTTTGTATATCGGACTATAGTATTATAACTAATTACGACGGTAGAACCGAAATGCCTCTGCGACGTACATATGCATATGTCATTCCGTGCACTTGCATGCGTAATTATGTAATCCTATCTAATCCTATAATCTGAGTCCACAAATAATTCCATATATATAAATGCTAAAATAAGAGTTACAGTAGAAAAACGTTAATTTTCTATACGCGCATCACGTTTTTGGATAAGGTCTGCAAGCAATTTATATCCGAAACAAACAGTTAAAAGGTGAAAGGAATAAGGTGAGAAACGAGTTTACTGGGCTCGCGTCTGAGTTTCAGAAATATAAAGGGCCGCTTGAACAATGAACGGGCGTCGCGGAAAAGAAAGCAGAACGAACCGGGCGAGAGAACAAGAGTCAGGCGGTCGCCTCTAAAAATACTTGATTTTATGGGATCATAACGCAGCGAGTTCGTTTCTCTCGCGGGGCGTGCAACGTCGGGCCTATATACCCACCCGCTCATAAATCCCTTTGACCGTTAGCCTCACGTGTGAAATTGCTATTACGTCGCGGTCCTACCGCAGCTGTCGGCTACGCGGAAACCGCCCGCGTGTGTAGACCCTTAAGTCTACGGTGTCTCGCACCCGATCGTCGGATCGGGCGAGGCCGTTTTCCCCGGCTAACTGTGGAAGTCGCAAAACGAGGATATTACCTGCCGCCAGTCAGGCGTCGGCGAAAACAAGTGGTAATGTCGCTGGCTGGCTTGAAATTAAAGTTTCATAATGGATGAATTATTAAAATTGAGAAACTCAGCAATGTTTTGATATTCAACGGTCGCAGTAGAGTAAAGTAGAATGGATCACCACGGAAATGGAGTTTGCTTTTAAAAATTACGAAAATTTTACTAAATATATCAAAAATTATAATCATTTGCATATGATAAAAATACAAAATAAAGATATATTTATTCTCAAATATCCTTGATTTCTAACTTTTTACTTCAGCGTTCTCATAAAGAACCTCTAAATGTTTCATTTTGTTACAAGATTAAACTTAAGGATCTTTATGAAAACTATAGAAAATCGAAAACTGAAGAGTGCAAATACTCAAGAACAAGACTCTATGGAAATATAAAGTTCAATGGAGATATAGATTGGAGTTATATCGTTACCAACACATTAATTCCAAATACTGTTATGGAAGCAAGAAGCTCGATGCACGCAATGAGCCTCGCCACTAATGTCAATTACCGTTAATCTACCTAATTGCTCGCGGTTAATTTCTAATTGAAAATATAACGTTCAAATGAGTGGGCTTAATACTCATCGATTATGTGTAAAGACTGATAATGGCGTTACGGCTGGATTATCCTCTCTGTTCTTATAATTTTGTTTTATTATCGAATTCATTTGACAGAAGCCCCTGGCTTTCCTACATCGCAGCATTGCGAACGAATTGCCTCGCAATTGATAATCGAAGAGAAAATTAATTTAAAGCAAAACAATTTTACAAAAATCTGGTAATTTAAATCGTATGCTGTTGAATTTTAAGCGGCACTTTTTTTATTTTTGAAGTATGTTACTAATATGCGCTTTTATTTTTAGGCACGAGTTTTTTTAGGCAGAGCAGGTAAAAATACGACGCAATATACGAACAAAAATGACCGATGAAAACCCTCAATGTCGCGAGAAATAAGAACGAACGCGATAACAGCTGCGCAACAGTTTTTACTGTACGCTAATTGCTATTCTGCATAATTATCACTGCTTCCAACGCGCCTCACCTTCACTATTCTTTGCGCGGCCCATAACTATGCGATGTAATCGCGAATGATATAGTTTCCGGAACGAATCCGTACGATTAATTAACGCATGGCTAAGATACATGTGATCTTAACCTTGATGATTACTTTTCAAAAGACGTCATTAAACATAAGCGTTAAACGTTAAATCGTTATTAAACATATAACTAGTAATAATATTAATAACATTTTTAAAAATATATAATTATATATGGATCCAGTACACACACATTGTATTAATAAAAATATATCTTGTGTTAATACTCTATCGTAGAAGCAAAATAATATTTTATTTTAATATTTTACAACATGTAATCATACACAAGGTTTTAATAAAAGTCTGTAACTTTCTATACATATTACGCGCGAAAATAGCAACGACCGATCGCTGTCGTCGTTGTTTCTGCATATATTTCTGCAGTAATAGCGGTGGTCCGTACACGAATAAGTGTGGGGTTTCGCGAATATATTACCCATCCGACGTCAACACGTGCGGGTTATCGCGACGGTACATCGTAACCGATACCGACCAGCCGTATAATGCGTCACCTTATTGCCATTTTAGCGCATAATTTTCAGTGACACCGTCATTTATGCGCAGAAAATGTACCGCCCGACAGCGAAACGAAGAATATCTAAAACGATCTTGTTACCTATTCCTTTTATCCTGAATTCTAAATCGATCGAAAGGCACGGGTTGGAAATTAAATGAGAAATTATGTCGCTATTACTTTCCTGATATCTAAAAGAAACCTCGGTTGGCAAATAAATGTCACGTGAATTGATTTACAGAATCGATTTGCGGATAGTAAATAAACTTGGAAAATATCGGCAAGAGCGAAGGAGAGCAATTAACGTACTGATTACTGATAGGATATTAGGCATTCCCTCTCCGCTGCACGCTAATAGAAAGTTATTCCGCTGACGTTATAAGTGGCGGTTTGTGTAACGTGTGTCTCATTTTGATCCGTGCAATTATAGCTATCATGGATTTTAACCGAGCCGCGATTTAATGCGATTTCCCGGATTAAATTGCCAGCAATTAAATTTCGCATCGCGTTAATTTTTTTACAGAATTCCACATTCCGCGTATGTGAGAGGACCGAAAGTGTGCGGTCGAACCAGGGAACCTTCCATCGCTCTGGCACAGCGATAATTCTATTTTAATGTCGCGACACGCGAGTAACGAGTTGCTGACTATGTAGGCTCTATAGCGTAAAAAAAGAATAACTTAAAGAGATTAATTTCCATTTGAATGTGCGGCGAAAGCATTCTTTCGACAGTTCAGCGTTTTGGAAAGGTCGTACACGTGTACGTCCTCTCTAGCTTCTGCATTTTGAAAGCGAGTACTCGACGAGCCGGACGAACGACGACAAGTCGTCGGGAATGATTTCGTGTAATTTGTATAGCAAAATGTTATCTGACGGGACAAGCGGTCGGTCCCAACCGTGAAGGCAAAAGTCGTACATTTCGAATGCAAATGCAGCTTCGCTTCTGTGCCCTCTCTTACAGAATAAATAAAGGCACTTATTCGTTCGACATGTAGAGAACCGGTCGCTCGCGCGTGTATCGCCGTTTGTATCGTTATTAAATACTTAAAGAGGCGAGTTAGCGATGGACCGCGAGCTTTCATTGATGACAGTAAACCTCGCGGATAAGATAGAGAGCCTTTGGTCTAACTTGCGGGGAGATCTCTGTCGACAGTCTATTTTCTATTTTTAAAACATCTATCCTTAGTAGAATAATATAATTATGTAATATATTTTCGATGAGTGTAATTTCCGGTGTTGCCACAATTAATTAATTTTTAATTAATTTTTTCTGATACCAAGTAACTTGTGTGATGGGTGGAATATATTGTAACAATTGTAAGTTTTATAAATATAATAAGTAAATAATTGTCAGAAGCAAATGCAAATACTTACTTGGTGCTGCTTACTTCTCGCGATGTTATTAACGTTTTTCGGTTGTGATTCGTAGCCGCCATTGTGCTGTAATCAAAAATGGAAAGTGGTTAATTAACGCATTTATTTGAATAATGTATGAGAATATATTACGCGCTAAATCTTCATATAATTAAGATTTAAAATAATAAAAACGTCATTATTATTCATTCTCAAAACATTAATAAAAAAAATGTTATATCAAAATGCCGCGCTAGTATTATTTTAGTGTATTCTGTGATCGAGAAAACAGTTAATATATAGCTTCGTCTTATTAACTTTCTATTCGGTGCGTAGAAAATACTATTACTCTCTTCATGGGCGTTGTCCCAAGAGAAGTAGGTGACATTATTGTCCATTGTTTCGAAATTAATGATATACGGTAAGTTGTTCCCATTGTCGGTTCCATTATTGCAAGAAAAATTATGCAACGACAGGTGCCGCAGTAGCGTATTGTGTTCGATATTCCTAAAAAAACGGTTGCATAGTCGGTTGCATCGATTGGAACCTGCCAAAACCTATTTAATATCATACATCGAATGGTTGAGCTACGATGCACATGCGATGCTGCACAGTTATGTAAGAGAAGAAATAAAGTAGAGCTTGAAAAAAAGCGTTTTTAATCATAATCTTCTATCATAAAAAAAACTATAATTGAAAATTTGCTCGAGAAATAAAAGGCTACGCCTAAATGTGTTTATTTTCAGCGCCGTTCAAAAAAGCTTTTGATATTTAAAGGATTGATCTATTTATATGATAAAATGCTACGGGATTTTTATTAATATTTTCGGATATAGCATAACATTCAGATTAACGTTCCGTCAAATTTTTACTAAGCAGAAGTCAGCTCCGAAGAATCCGTAAATGATTATATGTCATGCTAATTGATACACACGTCGGGCGAGCATGCACGTACGATTCGCACGCACCTCGCTCTCTATATGAAGAGCAGTATGCCAGACGGTAAAGGCGATGCGATGCAGAAGCGTCTCCGTTTCCTCCCGCAGTGGCGTTTCGGTTTCGCTAAAATTGTTGTTCGCCGTATCCTGCCGTGTGTCTCCGCAACGGCAGCAATTCGCTCGCAGCCAAGCGCGCGATAACGAGCTGCCGTTCGAACTCGTCATCGGTGCACAAGATCGTGCTCCGTTTGCCTTCATGCAATACGCAATTTCCATATATCGTCCATTAAGCAAATCGTGTCGGCGTTTGATCAGTCAAACGTTCTGACTCGTAATAATAACGCAAATGATATTTTGCATCGATCATAAGGAATTCCTCCTTCTCGAGTATAGCATTATCGCCGCTCTTTGTAATTTCCTCTGTTTTTATGATCGTATGCGTGATTTCCTGACGATTTTCTCAAGCAGGTGCTGCTCGATATCAATAATGTCTTCAATCAGAAAAATCTTCAATCATAAATCGTTCTCTCATTAACATCGCTAATATTTGTTAAAAAAATGTCAACAAGACCCAACGCGATCGGTTTGGTTCATTATCCCAGAAGGCCTTTCGCACTCGTGTGATTTCTAATCTTAATTGCCTCAGTAATATAGGATTCCAGATGTCCCGAGCCACGTGTATCAACGTGGGGCGCGCCATACTCATTTCGCTGTACTGGGGGCACCGCCTCTTCTTCTTCCTCCTTTTTCCCTCCGTCTTCCGCGAAAAACCGTGACGCTTGCCAAACGATTTTCTCTGATACGGCGCGGATCATCGAACCGCTTCCGGGTCAAGTGTCGTATGAATGTAACGCGATTTGCCTTTTTTTGATCACGTAAATCAAAATATTTGACTCTTATTGCATCAAATCGAAGGTATTTTCTAACTACTACTATTTGAGCACTTCTGTATTTTGTACTGAATATACCTGTATATGTCATATGTGTAGTGTATTATAGGCTTTTTACTATTCTATATTTCTATTTTACTGAGCTTTTCTAAACTTTTAATTATAGATTTGTGTCACATAACAATAATAGATATAACAGATATATATATATATTAAATATTATATAGATCTGATATTATATATCTTCTTATCTATAACAACGTAGAACATAAATTCGGTTCACCTCTATTGCTTTAACTTGCACTTTCTGACTGCACTGCCATTTGCTTCGTTAAAATATTAGCAGCGGTGCAAATGTGTCGCACGTTTTAACGACTCAATCTTTTAATAGGTAATTCACAGTTCAGCTCTCTTATCAGCTCGACACGCAAACGAGTACACTTGTCGTGACGTATAGCGGATAGCCTTCAATGCGTCGTACGCAACCACGCCGCATGATCAGCTCGCGCGATCCCACCCTACCAGGCGCCAATCAATTCACCTGCCGCGGCTTCGGCTTGCAGGTGTGCGTTCAAGGTCATTCGCGTTTCAAGGTACGCACCCTCTCGTGGTCACGCTCGACTCATCGAGCGTTTCTCTCTCTCAGCGAGCCACCTCTCACAGTTCGATACCGCCTTTACGGCTCACCTCGCGTTTTCCTCGACATCCTCGCGACACGAGGAAACTATGATGACACGCTTGAAACGATTGGGAAACGATTGGGATAGTTTCCGGGACTTATCGCGACCTGGGACAACCGGAACAAACGTCTGCGCCGCACGGGAGCCGCCCCGGCGCTGCGGGTATATACAGAGGGTTGAAAGCCTGCATCTCTCCCGGCAGACCGGGATGGGTCCATGGCGGGGTGGGCACGGGGGGAGGGGGGTGAGAAAACTTGACGTGTAACCATGGCGACCGTAGCCGGCGTTGCGACCGACGTTACACGCAGGCCCGATCCTGCGCCGCGCGGATCCTCTCCGCGAGCGAAGTGCGAACTTCCGGCGCAAGCCGGTATATAGGGATGACACCTCCGAGAGTGGCGCTGAGCCGCCACTCCCTTGAAATATAATTAGGCCACGTTGCCCCGCGCGCGGAATTTACTCGGTCCCTCGAAATAGGGTAGACCTATTCAACATAGCAGCCGGGCGGCGCGCGGCATCCCGCAGATCGGTCTCCCGGTGAATGGGACTTTGATGACGCGGGGCTTATGAAATTTATCTTAACGTCCAAATTATCCCTTGCCGGAACGTTGACGTAATCCGTCGCTATATGTAACATAGTCCGCGTGTTTGCGAGATACACCTATATTTTGTGTCATTTCATTAATATCTCGTTTATGCAATTTGTTCTACAAATAATCGACGGTGTCATCTCAATTAAAATAATGCCTCAGCGCAAATTTCTTTACAGAGCGAGTATCAAATGCTGTTTGCAAACTTGGAGAATTTTTATCGTCCAATTAGAAATCGATCTTTCCTTAATGGCTTTTCCCGAGAAATTTTGTTCCTCGTTTAATGAAACGAGAATGGAACCTGAATATAGGTATTTCAATCTATTTGCGAGGTTTTACCTGCTTCCATATGATGTTACCGATACGCTAAGTTGCCGATTACTTTAGGTTGCCGCGTGCGTCTCCGCGCGGTCGCATCGCCGATAAGGAAAAGTACAGCCGAGTGGGTCGAATGTGCCACTCCCATATACAATTAGGCCACCCGGTGATATACACGCTATTTTATCCGATGCCATTTCCTTTGTACATACATCTACATTTCGCGCGTAACGGACGCGCGCTTGAACTTACTAATTTGTAGCCCGGCAGGGAGATCGTCGAAAATGGGGGATTCGCGTCGCGACGTTGGATATTTTTTTAATGTGTTTCTAACAAGATTTTCATTTCGGATGATAAAATAGCTCTGGCGGAGAGCGTGTCGTGACACGTGCGAAATGACTTCGCGTACTTGACATACCGCACCCTTTCGATGTAATTGGGTCAAGCTTTTACGTTAAAATTGTAATAACGTGTAGATGTGTTTTTAAGGAAAATCTCTCACGTTTAAGAGAAACATAAAAATATTGATTTTTTAGGAACAATTTATTACTGATTACTCTTTCATTATCATCTAAATTTTAACATGTATTGTGAGAATTGTTTAGACTTTAGACATAACGAACCATGTATTTCTATTATTTTTATTATATAAAAAAAAACAGAAATTTAATAATAAGACAATTTTATGTCATACTAGATTAAGACGTTGAATGTAAAATTTTGCTTTACGATAATTTGCATGGAAAAGCAGCAAGTCATGTAATGTTGTTTTAATATAAGCATACCTGCGTTTCGTCACGGCTTTCTGAGAAGAACATTTAAAGGCTTTTGTGGCAATTCGTCCGTCTTGATGTAACACGTTAATTTCCAGACGAAAGAAATACCGGCGACATTTTACGGCAAGATAAATCGCATAAAGAGGACCTATAAGACTTCGTAGGTGAAACAAGTTCTACCAGGACTAGGTAACTGGATAAACACAAGGATGTCCTTGGCGGGATATCGCAGGTGGAATATATCGCCGCTCTCCTCTGTCTGAGAGTCCAAATTCTGTCTGGATTGCGAAAACTGTGCGATTACTAAATCTACCGCGTAAAAATGCGAATAACGTTTCGCTCCGACTATAAAAAAGGCGGAGAGGGGCCTCTCTTAAATTTACATTCGTGAATAGTGAATTATGGAAATGTGATATAAATCGTAGTATTTTTAGATTTCGCCGACAGCAGAATGCCACACGCAAAATTGCGGCATGCTGGTAGACGCTTCTGAAATATTGCAGTTTACAGATTAAAACGATTTAACATCGCAATCCAACACATTATACAAGCAATGTTACGTAGGTGATTATTATAGAATGGTAATAAGCGCGGGACCATCAAACTTTAATTGGTTTAATCGCGTAAAATATGTTTCCACCAACTAAATCGCTAATTAATGCGCGCAATGCATTTGATTGGAAATACGTAATTGGGGATGCGTTTTACTGTCGAATAGAAAAATCGACGTTTAACCACGCGCGATGGGTCCAATTTATTAAATAGAATTACGATGGGATTAATCTTTTATCATTTTTCATGGTAATCCAAAGGAATTTCTCGTCAAATTTATTGGCGTAATTTGTTGTAAAATTTACAAAGGTTAATAAATTAAGTAAAAAGAATGAAGTTGACA